GGGCAATTTCGACAACGATACATGTTTAGATCTTGTTGTTGCAAATTCTGCTGATGAGGCAATTGCTATCTTTTTCGGTAATTATGATGGAACTTTCGCTAATCAAGAGACCTATTCAACCGGTGAAGATTCGTTTCCATATATGGTTACAGTTGGTGATTTTAACAACGACGACCTGTTAGATGTTGCTGTCGCAAACTTTGGCTCTCATACCATAGGGATCTTTCTTTCTAACGGGAATGGATCATTTCAAGACCAAATAATAACATCAACTGGTCGATCATGTCCTATATGGATATACATTGCTGATTTCGACAATGATACTTTATCTGATATTGTCACTACAAATTATGGTACCGATAGTATTAGTATATGGTTTGGATATGGTAATGCGAGCTTTTCAATGCCCATTATGTATTTCATAGGCTATGATTCTTATCCACGTTCAGTAATTGCTGGAGATCTAAATAATGACAATAGATTAGATCTTATCATTGCAAATTCAGGTACAAACAACATAGCCATACTATTTGGGAATGATCTTGGTAATTTCACACATCAAAACTTGTTGTCAACAGGTGTTAATTCCCATCCGTACTCTGTTACTCTTGCCTATTTAAATTATGACAAATTTGTGGATATTGTTGTTGCTAATTATGGGACACGATCTGTTGGTATATTTCTGGCTTATGGAAATGGAAGTTTCGCACCACAAGCAACATATTCACTTGGTAATAGTTCTCCGTATTCAATTGCAACTGGTGATTTAAATAATGACGATGCAATTGACATAGTCGTCAGTAATATAGGTACTAATAATATTGGTACGCTTCGCAACTACAAAAATGGTACTTTTGCAAGTCCGAGACTATATCCTATGGGATCATCTTCTTCAATCTCAGTAGCAATAGGTGATTTCAATAACGACAATCGATTAGATATATCTGTTGTTAACAACGACTCTCATAGCATAAGTATCTTTCTTGGTTATAGCAAAGGTTTTTCAGGTCAAAATATGTATTCTACTGGTCGTTCTCCACTGTTCATTGCTGTCGGCGACTTTAACAATGACAAACAACTAGATTTTGTTGTTACTAATAATGATGACAACACTGTTAGTGTCTTTCTTGGATATGTCAATGGTTTGTTTACAAGTCAAAGGATATTTTCGGTTGGTTCTTATC